CGTGCATTTCCAAAGTTTCATGCACCTTTGGTCAGAGATGGTAACAAAACAGGATATTGGATCTGCCCCTTGGAACAGACTGTCTCCATGTTACAACATCAACTTAATTTCCCTAAGTCTCTCCCCATGAGTGAATTACACGAGGGAAGGAGAGCACATTTGAAGAGGACTAAGCGGGAACGGCATGTGACCTCTTAGTCACATAGACAGATAGGGACAGTCTTTATTGCCTCGGAGCCACAGGTCTTCCACTCATGAAACGGAAGCGGTGATGCTTACCCCTGGGGTGATCATGCATATCCAATGAGATAATCCACTGAAATGGCCTAACACACCACTTAGCACATGGTATAGACACACAATTAACCTTAGCTCCCTTTTCCTTCTTTTACAGTAGATTTCACTACAAAATTCAGAAACAATGCCTTACCGGCTATCTGAGCAGAAGATGTGAGGTGACCACCGGGTCACCTGTCATTGGGTGAACCCATCAGCCACTGCTCTGGGGAGACGTTGACAGCTGGGAATGTCATTGTCTTGTAGATTGAGGATAATGTCAGAAGCACCGGATTTGAGTCCTGGTTTCTTTCCCAATGTAGTTTTAGAATCTTCTATCAACCCCTTAGACTCTGGTCCACGGTGCTGCTATGTAAACGGAAGGCTCTGGGTTCAATCCGTGCTAAAGGATCTTTTTGCTCTAAACGTGCTATTTACACACTGTCCTGGGAAGAAGCTAGTTATTGCAAGCCATCGAGGTGCTTATTTAGTACACGTATTTTGCTGGTTATTGCACGATGTATTTTGGAACGGGGACTCATTGTATGATGCATACCGGTAACGATGTACCCACAAAGAATGTGGATGGTGTTCGGGCATAAATAAAGCTCAGGGCGATTCTTAAGACTACACTATCCTCATCAAGCAACACCGCAAGTTATGCAAGACGTAAATAATATTCAAATCACTCCAGACCTGTAAATTTAGATCTTGCTCAAGCAGTTCAAATCTCTTAAACTGAGAATAATGTTTTCAATTATAATTACGTAAACCACCAGAAATTAATCGATACGTCAGTCACTATTGCCTTGTCTCCTATACAACAGAGATCCATAAATGTTTTAAAATAGGGAGCTTTCAATAGAAAATAGGTCTTTTCTGGCACTAAGTTCCTGGGGAAACCCTGGGAGGGTTTCCAGGGGTCCATCACCAAGTGGAACTCTCTAGAGAGCAGACGATCTGTCCATGTTCTGAATGCAACACTGACTGGGGAACTCAGCTCTGCTACGTCATTGGTCTGAAATCTGTGAAGACTGACTGGGTAGTTTCCCACAGAGACTGGCATTACCCTCATTGTCGTCCACATTATGTGAGCTCCCCATAAAACCGTCTCCATTTTTAGTGTTCATTTTGGGTTTTTACATTGGAATAGAAGATGCTCTGGTCTCATTTGAAAACCACTCAGCTTATAAACCTTCATTTCTTTTGGATATAGACATGTAGATAAAAAAAACTGTTTCACTGATTATAAGATTTTTTAGTATATGTGTGAGTATCTATCTATACACTATATATATATATAT